ATATTATTATTATAGCCAAATTTACCACCCTAACTCCTCCCCCACAGTTTTTACACTACATAGACAGTAATATACCGAAACGTGCGGATTGTTCCCGATTGGTGTGCTATTACTTTGTGAAACGTTTCGCCAAATGGTTCACGAAATATCGGCGTTTTTATGGTCAAATTTGTCCCATAGGAATGAATAGAGGAATCCTGATAGTTTTCACAATATGACCATTTGTTTGCAACTCATGCCGCCCATTGACATTCATTGAAACTGCACTCTAGCCCCCTCAAATTTGAAGGGAAATTTCTAAACTGGGACTGTGCGTTCATTTTTAATGTTTACTCACGCCACTCCACCCAGTTACTCCGCCCACTCCAGTTGTAGACTACTGGTAGAGGCAAGAACACTTCACACAATTTCCACAGAAATTGTAGCATTTCTAGTTTGTATTTGATATTATAAATAATGATGCCTACATCTGTATGCAAGTCACTGCTGTATAAACTGAAGGACTAATTATTTCTGTTAGCATATTGCACAGCTAAAAATACATTTGCTACCAAGGGAGCACAGCATGCCCTGAATGTAACTGTTTTGGGAAACTGTTAAATTGATGGGTTCAGTTCCGAATGGTGTTCAAATAAATGTTTTGTTTTTAAAGTATATGTAAACCCTGACTTTGTAAAGCAACCCATTTCAATACAATTGTGTATACATAAAAATATTATAAATACCCTTTTCCCCTTTCTTATAAGTGATCACATACCCTCTGTTCTCACTTTCATAAGTAGCTCTGAGAGCTAGGGGGAGGAGAAACAGCAGCATACTAGTCTTCTCAGTGCATTGCTATACAGGGGGAATGTGTCAGCGCCAGCCTTATCATTGGAGGAGAGTAGGTTCAGTTCTCAGCATAGCCAGAAAACAGACCACACTGTGTCCTCCTGCTTAGTGTGGTCAGTTTTTAAGAGGAAAACAGGGAAACTGACATGAACAAGAATACCCTGATACGTTTTCATAAAAGTACATGGTACAGCAGGTACATATCAGGAATATAAAATCTTGGGTTTACTTATTCTATAATACTGAGAACTTGGCTTGGCTGAATGTGATTTATTATGTTATAGAAGCTTCAGTGTTATTTTGCAACATGGTGGATGATTTGAAGATGTAGTGACCTAAAGAATTTATTTTCATGTTGTTTTTCATACCCAGTATAACACAGAGTTAGGACCCTGAAATGCAGTGAACATATCAGTGATTCTGGTTCCAAGTTGCACTGTGTGTACTGCGAACAAACAATCGTTCACTTGCTTGAGTTTAAGGCCGGCTATACATGGGTCGAAATTCGATCAATTTTTCGTCTGAAAATCAGTCCTAAGAATAATCAGCCGATTTTCGCTCTGTTAGTGGGTCAATGGCACCAACTGATTTTCGTAGTTCCTCCCCTTTTCAGTGATAGGGCATGTTGGAAAATTTGTGAAACATGACCGATTTTCGACTCAATGATGGTCAAATCGTAGGATAATTTTTCCGAAAAGAATATGCGCATGAGCTGTGACCTGGAAGGAACAGAAGCTTCACCTGTTATATGGGGTGAACTTCATGACTTCGTCGTCCAATTTTTGAAATCATTGGTGGCACCATCAGAATACCGAGCGAACGACGTTTTCGATTTTCAGATGAAAAATAAGTCGGAATTCGAACCATGTATGGCCTGCATAAGAGTAGACATTGAATTACAAAAATACATTGCATTGGAACCCTACATTCTGAAAAAAAAATGCTATAATATCAACGTGCAGCGCTAATAAAAATGTGTGTTATAATCATTGATGACCAGTGTGATTGTAATAAAGAAAGGAAACATCATAAAAAGGAGATATGAAATTGTGAATACTCCAATGAAGAAACAAAATGGACGGTATAACAAATAACAAATGAAAATATAGAAGTCCTCTGAATATCATAATAGTCCCAAAAATAGTGATGTGATGTAATCAACAAAATGTAGTGACTTCTGTGACTTCCGTACTGCACCTCCCCCTTAATGCACTCATCAAAAGTAAGTAGCAAGCAAGCCTAGAGCGGAATGACTCTAAGGGGTGTTCCTGATTGTTCCTACTGTCAGTGACCCGGTTGAAGGTGGAATCTCTCCAGAAGCCAGCGATACACCAAATGAACAATCAAAAGTTGAGTAGCCAAGTCTCCGTCTCCAGCCCACAGTGAACCAAGAAAATGGGATTCCTCCTAGAGGGCAAGCTCATAGGCCGAGGCCGGAGACAGTATCATATAGTGTAGTATGTTTTATTAAAAAGATAGCAACCACGTGTAGCATAAAATCATCAATGGATAAAAAGCACTTACAAAGATGGCCGCCGGACCATCACGTGGACGCAGTGGCGCGACGTCAGCACGTAGGCATTGGCATAAATGAAAAGACATTATCCCAGGATGAGGCCCGTCTATGCCTAGGGCAGACTGATAGCAATCAGAATGACTGATGGTGTCACTCCAGCTCAGCTTTTTGTGTGTGTCTCTAGCTTGGTATGTTAATTTTTGCGGATGCGAAGGTTGGAATTCAATTTGCTGGATCCACTGTGGCAATGTATGAGCTTGTGGATTTTTTCCAGCACATTATAATACATGTTCTCACATAAAAGAAAAGCAATCCTGAATATTATTTAAACTGTTGTTTTGAAGGCTAAACAACGGCAGCAGGTTTATGAAGGCGCTCCCTATGGAAAACACAGAGTTTTATAGCCAATCCTGCCAAAATAGTCAGACTTGAATAGTTTAATTATTTTATTTATTTTTGTTTGCACACACTGACAATCACCCTGCCCCATATTACTGAAAAAATACTTTTGTTGTAATCTGCATTGCAGCCAGGGAGGTTCTTCTGCCTCTTGGGACAGGTTTTCTCTTTTCTCCTCTGTGCAGAACAAAGAGAACTTTTGGCTGTAGTTGGAGCAGGTCCTCTTTTGGAGGCCAACTGCTTATTCCTGTGTCATGATAGTGGTATCCTCTCCCTGACTCCTGATCTGCCATCTTGGGCCAAGATGGACATCATCTTGAAGCTGTATAGGTTGGGCTATATAGGGAGTGTGTGATCAACTTGGCTTTTGCTGACAAAGGTGGAAATTGCTGTAGACACAGGTAATGACATTTGTGATTTGTTTTTGGTTTTTTTTTTTCACTGTATGGACTCCTTTTCCATCTAGTAGGAAGAAGACTTTTTGTGACTCATCTTTACTCCCTGATCAGAAATACAGGATTTAGTAGATGAGTTGTGTCTGCTTTAAATCCTTAACCACCATAAAGCTGAAATAAAAAATTCAAATTGAAGCAAATATTTATTGTAATGTTCTTGGTTTATGCAGAGTTAAATCTCACTGTAACAGGTGTCCTTTCAAACCCCACATCTTCCAGCCACGTGCTTGTGCTGATCATGTACAGTAGGTGGTGCTGTTGCTGCATGTGATTACGTTTTATTGCAGTTCATTGCAACATAAGTGTGATCAACTCACAACATACAGTATGGGTTGTAATATTGCATTAGAGAATCATGAAATTGTGATAATTGTGTTAAAATATATACTCATGATTTTGGTGTGTGTGTGTGTGTAAGTATGTATATGTGTGTGTGTGTATATATATATATATATATATATATATATGTGTGTGTGTGTGTGTATATGTATAATATACACTACACTATATTGCCAAAAGTATTGGGACACCCCTCCAAATCATTGCATTCAGCTGTTCCAATCACCTTCATGGCCACAGATGTATAAAATCAAACACCTAGGCATGCAGACTGCTTCTACAAACATTTGTGAATGAATGGGTCGCTCTCAGGAGCTCAGTGAATTCAAGCTTGGCACCGTGATAGGTTGCCACCTGTTCAATATGTCCATCTGTGAAATTTCCTTGCTACTAAATATTCCACAGTCAACTGTTAGCGGTATTATAACAAAGAGGAAGCAACTGTGAACAACAGCAACTCAGCCACGAAGTGGTAGGCCACGTAAAATGACAGAGCAGAGTCAGCACATGCTGAAGTGCACAGTGCGCAGAAGACACTGTTTGCAGTTCCAATAGTTAAAGACATCCAAACTTTGTGTGGCCTTCAGATTAGCACAACAGTGTGTAGAGATCTTCATGGAATGGGTTTCCATGGCCGAGCAGCTGCATCTAAGCCTTACATCACCAAGTGCAATGCAAAGCGTCGGATGCAGTGGTGTAAAGCACGCCGCCACTGGATTCTAGAGGAGTTGAGACATGTTCTCTGGAGTGACGAATCGCGCTTCTCTGTCTGGCAATCCAATGGACATCTCTGGGTTTGGCGGTTGCCAGGAGAATGGTACTTGCCTGACTGCATTGTGCCAAGTGTAAAGTTTGGTGGAGAGGGGGACTATGGTGTGGGGTTGTTCTTCAGGGGTTGGGCTTGGCCCCTTAGTTCTAGTGAAGGAAACTCTTAAGGTGTAAGCATACCAAGACATTTTGGACAATTTCATACTCCCAACTTTGTGGGAACAGTTTGGGGATGGCCCCTTCCTGTCCCAACATGACTGTGCACCAGTGCACAAAGCAAGGTCCATAAGGATATGGATGATCAGGTTTGGGGTGGAAGAACTTGACTGGCCTGCACAGAGTCCTGACTTCAACCTTTGGGATGAATTAGAGCGGAGACTGCGAGCCAGGCCTTCTCATCCAACATTAGGGCCTGACCTCACAAATGCACTTCTGGAAGAATGGTCAAACATTCCCATAGACACACTCCTAAACCTTGTGGACAGCCTTCCCAGAAGAGTTGAAGCTGTTATAGCTGCAAAGGGTGGGCCAACTCAATATTGATCCCTACGGACTAATACTGGGATGCCATTAAAGTTCATGTGCATGTAAAGGCAGGCGGCCCAATATGTTTGGCAATTGTGTGTGTGTATTTTTATTTACTTTATTCTATTAAGTTTTTTCACAAACTATGTCCTGTTCTGTCTGCACAGGTTTTTATCACAAATGGATGGATGACCGATGTAGTAATTGTTGTTGCTAACACAAACCGTGAGGCTCGTACCCCTGCTCATGGCATCAGCCTCTTCCTTGTGGACGCTGGCACTAAAGGCTTTGATAAAGGAAAGAAACTAGAAAAAATTGGTTTGAAGGCACAGGTAAAATAATTTCTTTGAAAGGTTCAAACTAATCTTTGTATATGATGAGAAAATAAATTGTGAGAGAATTGTGACACAGAGGACATGTACTTGGAGCAAATAAGCAGCCATGTTTTCCATTTCAGGTCTCCATAGAAGAGCAAAAGTAAATGTATATGAGCTCTGGTGACGTGACAAATATTTGGACCTTTTCTGCTCTGTACAATATGTAGGAATACGCTTTTCCTCACACTTGCTGCTTAGGAGGGACTCTTATGGCTCTCTTTAGTGGTATAGGACCAGGGATCTAAAAAGACCTCAGGCTTATGGCTAACTTTGGTAAACTTTATTACCCTCACTGTCAAAAATCTGCCCATTTTTCTAAATGCAAGGTGTTTTTTTCTGTTTTTTTGTTTGTTTTTTTTTAAAGCTCAAGGGAAACCCAGATAACTGGACCTTGATCAGAGTCTGAAATGTTGTCAATTTTTGCTGAGAGGTAATTTCTGTATGGGTTGATATACACCTTTGTTGGTTCTTAAAACAAAAATTAAAAGTGGGTCCCCCCCCCCCCCCCCCCCCCCCCCCCGTTCTGGAAACTACAACAGAATATAGTGACATAGAGGATGGCAAGAGGAACCACAGAGCGTAGTTTATAGTCCAAACCAGGAAGCCTAGTTGGCAACTCTGGATTTCGCCATCAATACAATGGAGGAGTGAACATAGCCACCCTAGGACAGGAAATGTGTTATTCATAGTACAAACAGGTAAAAAATAAAGGGAATAATGCAGCCACCACATTTAAGCACTGGCAAGCTACAATAAATACATTTTTTTTTTGCTTTTGTGTTTTGACCTCATGCACACTGGTTGTTAGCCAAGCTTCTCTAAATGCATTTTCAGTAAGAGAAAAGCAGCCAAGAAATGCACCTAAAGAGCTTAGGCGTCGAGTGCTTGGGCATTCATTTGTTCTATTGGCCAGAATATTGATTTATTCTGGTCATTGAAATGAGTGAACACTCAAGCACTAAGTGCTTCAAGTGTGTTCTCTGTTCAAATGCTCCTCTTTACTACCTAAAGAGATGAGTTTTCGTTTATGGAAAACTGTTTATTCTTTTTTAAATTACCTTTATTTTCAGGACACAGCAGAATTGCACTTTGACGATGTCAGGCTTCCCGCTGATGCCTTATTGGGAGAAGAAAATAAAGGTTTCTACTACTTAATGGCAGAGCTTCCCCAGGTGTGTCTATACAATAAGTTTAAATATAAAAAAATCCTCCTGCGCTGATAAGGAAGTATGCCCTAATGAATAGCTGCTAACACTCTAAGCTGATACCAAACCAGTGTAACAATGTTGAAAAATTAGTGTAGCGCTTCAAACTATAAATGAATATATAAAACAATAATGTGCAAAATTAACTAAATATCTCAGTCACTATTGTGACTAGTGAAAGTGATGAGAATAAATAAACATATATCTCCGTGACAAATAATTATTGTGCTAGGGTCACCTAAGTGACCTAAACAAGTGACAAACACAGAAATAAATCAAACACCAAATAAATGGGGAGAAAACGTGATAGTGCCACTTCAAATCTCATAGAAAAACATTCTAAACACTCTAATAGTCCAAAAAATTATAAATAAGTGTTTCATGTAAACATGCAATGTGCAATTCGTGATTGATTCATGAAAGTGCCACACACTTTTTCCACTCCAGCTGCAGTGCCTCCTCACCTCCTTTCTGCAACCCCAAAGGGCCAAAAAGCCTTCAGGATCACCTTGGATCCTTCACAGTACCAGCTAATAACTCTCCTCCGTCAGTATCTCCCCAGTAAGCCTTCAGGATCACCTTAGATCCTCTGATATTGATCCACCTCCAGTACCTCTCCAATGCAACCTCCAGGACCTTCTGTATAGGTACTCTGCAGAATATGTTACTCACCAAGCCATCTTTGTTGTGTGTTCTGTCCTGCCTACGCTTCCGTCACAACCATATTACTAGAATTTATTTCCACAATGAGGAGAATGTTCCGGCCCCGGAAGTGGGGGAATGATCTGCCCCTGAAGGGGTAATCTGGGTTCTCACACTATATATATGTGTATCATCATCTGCTCCTCTGCTGCCACTTCCACCAATGTCTCCTCGCCGCTCTGAACCCAGATTAACCCCTTCAGGGGCAGAACATTCCCCCACTTCCGGGTCCGGAACATTCTTCTAATTGTGGAAATAAATTCTAGTAATATGGTTGTGACGGAAGCGTAGGCAGGACAGAACACACAACAAAGATGGCTTGGTGAGTAACATATTCTGCAGAGTACCTATACAGAGGGTCCTGGAGGTTGCATTGGAGAGGTACTGGAGGTGGATCAATATCAGAGGATCTAAGGTGATTCTGAAGGCATAATGGAGAGATACTGATGGAGGAGAGTTATTAGCTGGTACTGTGAAGGATCCAAGGTGATCCTGAAGGCATTTTGGCCCTTTGGGGTCACAGAAAGGAGGTGAGGAGGCACTGCAGCTGGAGTGGAAAAAGTGTGCTGGCACTTTCATGAATCAATCATGAATTGCACGTTGCAGTTTATATGAAACACTTATTTTTACATTTTTTGGACCATTAGAGTGTTTGGAATTTTTTTCTATGAGATTTGAAGTGGCACTATCACGTTTTCTCACCATTTATTTAGTGTTTGATTTATTTCTGTGTTTGTTACTTGTTTAGGTCACTTAGGTGACCCTAGCACAATAATTATTTGTCACGGAGATATATGTTTATTTATTCTCATCACTTTCACTAGTCACAAAAGTTTTATATATTCATTTATAGTTTGAAGCGCTACACTAATTTTTTAACATCTATACAATAAGTGTTTTTAGCGGCAAACAATATTCCTGAAGGTGTTTAGGGCTTAAAATGTAGAAAATGTATGATGAGGGGTTTGATATATTTAGTATTTTAGATCGCTTTTTATAGCATATGAATTTTATGTGTGTGGTGATTACACTTTTTCAGTGGCAGCTGCTCTTCCATAAATTGATTAGTTTGTGTCTTCTGTTTGTTTCACTAATAATGGCATTGGGTACTTTCCAGACTTTATATCGGGATGATACCTGCAGCTACAGGCATCATCCCAGTATTATTATTTTCAGCATCCGATGGTCTTTCTTGTAGAAGTATAGCCACTCGATCACTTCTGCAGGCTGTGGAAGGGTGCCCCCCAACGGTAGAGGTGGGTAGGGTCAGATTGTAGGCGTTTGCAATGAAAAAAGTGCTCTGTTGTCTGAGATCATTCGGAGCAAAAAATGCTCTGGCTTCAGTCATCAATGGGAGTAATCTTGCCCTGGTGCCAGTAGCCAGAGTAAATATTACCCCAGCATCGATGGTCAGTGGAAGTAAAAAATGCCCTGGCACTGGTGGTCTGTGGGAGTAAAACATGCCTTGGCACTAGTGGTCAGAGGGAGTAAAAAATGTCTGCGTTGTTGGTCAATAGGAGTAAATCTTGCCCTGGCTCCATTGGTCAGAGGGAGTGAAAAGTACCCTGACATTGGTGGTCAGTAGGAGTAAAACCTGCCCTGGTGTCAGTGGTGGTCAAAGAGAGAATGAAAAATATGCTCCAGTGCTGGTGGTCAGTGGGAATAAAATATTCCCTGGTGCTGGTGGACACAAGGAGTGGAAAAATGCCCTGGCACCAGTAGGAGTAAAATTTGTCCTGGTGCTGGTCAACACAGGGAGTAAAATATTCAGTTTTCTCAGTTATCGGTGGGACTGAAAAATATCCTAATATCAATGGAAGTAAAATAAATTTAAAAATACCCCATCATCGTTGTGAGTCTTAATTAATGACCCTGCATTAGCTGGATTAATAATTTAATTTGTATTGTAGGAGTACACAAATAACTCTATTGCCAAAAGTATTGGGACACCTGATTTTACATGCGCATTAACTTTAATGGCATCCCAGTCTTAGTCCGTAGAGTTCAATATTGAGTTGGCCCCCCTTTGCAGCTATAACAGCTTCACCTCTTCTGGGAAGCCTGTCCACAAGGTTTAGGAGTGTGTCTATGGGAAGGTTTGACCATTCTTCCAGAAGCACATTTGTGAGGTCAGGCCCTAATGTTGGATGAGAAGTCCAGTGGGGTGTGTTTTACACCACTGAATCCGACACTTTTGCATTGCACTTATTGATGTAAGGCTTGGATGCAGCTGCTCAGCCATGGAAACCCATTCCATGAAGCTCTCTACTGTTGTGCTAATCTGAAGGCTACATGAAGTTTGGAGGTCTTTAGCTATTGACTCTACCACCTTGTGGCTGAGTTGCTGTTGTTCCCACTTGCTTCCACTTTGTTATAATACCACAAACAGTTGACCGTGGAATATTTAGTATCAAGAAAATTTTTTACAGATGGATTTATTGCACAGGTGGCAACCTATCACGGTACCACGCTTGAATTCACTGAGCTCCTGAGAGCGACCCATTCTTTCACAAATGTTTGTAGAAGTCTGCACGCCTAGGTTCTTGATTTTTTTACACCTGTGGCCATGGAGGTGATTGGAACACCTGAATCCAATGATTTGGTGGGGTGTCCCAATACTTTTGGCAATATAGTGTAAATCATAATCTGACCTTACAACACAACTACATATTATGTGCGGTACAAATTGTTGCTTATTGCAAACAGATATACTTGGTCACAACAGGTAATGTATCTATGTTGACCCATTGTTTTGGATTGGAAATTTTGAGCTTGTTCCTTTTTTTGCTGGTTGAGCAGAAATGTCAGCAGTGCACATTACGGTTAATGCAAGTTCATTCAATGGAGAGTGGTAATGTATGTGCATGATGAATAAAAAAATGATCCGATGCATAAACTGATGTTTTCTTTTGACCTTTTCAAAGAAGGGCATGATCGATACTATATAAAGCATCAGAAACCATCATGTGCTTTATATACAAATAAAATTAAATGCCTCACTGAATGCTGGGTGGAGTTCCATGATTTTCCTGAAAGGTATCAGCATATATTGATTGGACACCAGAATTTAATACCAGCCATTTAGACTGACAACAGTTGTGTGTACCTCTGTCAATAACTATGGTTATGCTATTAATGAATTTGAATTTCAAGATGCAAATTCTCTAATAACACTGATGACTTGTCTATAATTTGTAGGAGCGGTTATTGATTGCAGATATGGCTATTGCTAGCTGTGAGTTCATGTTTGAGGAAACACGGAACTATGTCAGGCAAAGGAAGGCATTTGGAAAGACTGTGGCACACTTACAGGTATTTACTTTGTTGTTCACACTTATAAATATTGTTAATCAATAAGAAAATTGTGAAGTATGTTGACTTTAAGAGCATTTGGTCATGCTGATCATATGATACGGTATTCATGAGTGCTGACCACCTTCATATTACTTGAGCCATTCTCTATAATATGTAGGTGCCCCCACTTCCTACATCCATATCACAATGATGGTGGCAACCTTGATATCTTATTTACATTAGTCAATGGACTGGCACCTTGTAAGACCTCTGAGAGGAAAGAAGTGCAAATTGTTTATTTTTTAACAGATTAAAGTGTATGTCTAGGCAAAACGTTTCTTTTTTTTTTTTTGCTTTTGATAAAGTGTGGAAAACAGTATTGCTGCTTGTGGGGAGATTAACCCCTTTGTACTGGTGAATATTGTCAAAAAGAAAGGAAGGAGAGATCAAACATTTTACAGCTGTCACCAAAATAAGAGGTAAGGGACACTTCTAAGTCTGATAACTTTTCTGGGGACAGCTGTCTAAGGGGAAAATTTCCTTCACTTTGGGGGATTTCCTCTATCTTCTTGTTGCGTATCTCTTGGTCAAGAAGTGAAGTTAAATTTCCTTAATGGGAAAGAGACCGCAAAAAAAAATAAACTGGAATGGATTTCAATCCTTCTAAACCTTATCCAAAAAAAAAAAGTTGTGACTTTACATACGCTTTAACGCTTTAAGAGGATTGGTATACCTATTTACAGGTAAAATTATGGACATATAATACATGACATAGCACATATTGTAAACAGTTGTTTGAGTTAGTAAAACTGCTTTTTTAAGCATTTCATTATATAATTTAGCAGGCCTATAGTGGTCATCTATAGTGTATCTTACCAAATATTTTATTACCATCCAGTATTTGAATGTTTACTGTCCAGTTCTAGCTAGTTTAAAGGATAAGTTAATTTTTTAGTAAAAATTAATAAATGCAGGTAAAAAAATGTGCATTTATTATTTTTGTCTGCAGGAGCCTGTAAAGCATTGCACCAGTGATCAGCAGATCGCTGGTGCCTTGCAGGTTTCCTGCCAATCTTTCAGTACATGCTGACAGGATGAATGAACTACCACTGCTCTCCACAGCGCCATCGTAGCTCATTGAGGACTACAAGCTGACCGCCGCTAAGGCTGTTGGGACTTGTAGTCTCTCACTCTAAAGACTGTGAATGAGTGATGCGGACGGAGCCCCGCATGGCCGCATTTTTTTAAATTTGACAGCTAGTGAGGAGGGAGAAAATCCCTCGCTAGCTGTCGGAGCGTGGGCCGGTCTGATTGTAACATGTTACACCCTGACTATGTGTGTAATATGTTATAAAAGGTGAACTTATTCTTTAATGTAACTGGCTTATACCTGGTACACACTTACGTTTTTTGGAGGTTTTTTTCCGCATTCAACCCCTTGCCAAAACACAGGTCAGCACACAGCCGATTGCCGATCAAATGCCAATTGGATGCTTGTTTTCCAGCATACCCGTTCGACAAAAGCTGGTTGTGAGATTTGCTTCTGTCGGACAGGGAGTTTTGCACATAGGCAGAAAGTCAGACGGTTTCTACGGTACCAGCTGATTTTGGATTATATTCTGCCCATGTGTACCCGGCAGGTTTGTTTTCACAGCTTTCTAACCAGTTCTCGCCAGCCTATTGTGAAGTGATGGCCAGTGGGTGCGTACCTATCCGGGATGGATGTCATATGACGTTCTTCCACTCATGCGCCTTCTGTGCTCTCTAGCTGCCTCGCTGTGTCTCAATCTGTCACCCCCCCCGTGTCCGCTCATTGGTGTGGTCTCACTCATTCACATTCAACACACTTTAAAGGAAAAAAAAATCCATACAGCACTTTTGGCCTATTGGCCTTCATTTTCCTATTCAAGTCATTTGTGGGTGATCTTTCAATGCACATCTAAAATGCCTGCTTGGTAAAGCATATTTAGCAATTACATATGGTGTGATTGTAGGAAAAGTGAGAAGAATCCGTGAATTATTTATGCAGCATTATTATCGTACTGCCAGCTTTTCTAAAATGAAACTGTTTCAATATTTTATGAATTTACAATAGCAAGGAAATGAATTTGTTCACTGAATACTTTCCATATCTTGTCTCTTAAGACTGTGCAGCACAAGCTGGCGGAGATGAAAACGCAGATCTGTGTGGGTCGCACCTTCTTAGACAGCTGTCTCCAGCTTCATACGGAAAAACGCCTGGACTCTGCCACTGCTTCCATGGCAAAATACTGGTATGCATGAGAAAATGAGAGGCCTTGCTGTGTAACAGGAACAAATACATAGCCCTGTTTTCCATCTATGACAATTGTTGTATTTGTACTGTGGCACGTAGAGGGACGGCCTATAGATTGGCTTGCTGATGCAAACTTTAGATTGGCGTGTTTTGTGGAATTGATTTCCCAGCATTGCTGAGTAATGTAAAACCAGTTAAAAGGGTTAAACTGGTTGATCATGATCCTGGTCTCCATGGTGCTGTCCTTTTCAGTTCTTTCACAAACTTGGCACTTGTTCTCACTTGATCTTTAACAGCATTGTCTGGCTAAGTAAAAGTGGGCATAAAATTCCCCTCTTTACAGGCACATAAAATACAGGTCTGTTTTATCACTGAGCTATGCGAGCTGACAAATTGATCTACATACTCTTTCCTGGCTGCATTCTCCAATTTTATGATAGACTTTTTGTAGACTTCTCATCAATGGCCTCCAAAATGCTTTTTAGTTTCTTGCGTAAAGATTGCACACAGACTGACCATCTGTTGTCTCATCAAGTGTTTTCCGCCAACCTGTATCTGTTTAGCTGTTGAAATACAGATTCCAACAGTCTGACTGTTAAGTGTTGCCAAGTACTCCACTATGCAATATATAATATTGTGTGTGTTTGTGTATATATACAGTCAGGTCCATAAATATTGGGACATCGACACAATTCTAACATTTTTGGCTCTATACACCACCACAATGGATTTGAAAAGAAACGAACAAGATGTGCTTTAACTGCAGACTGTCAGCTTTAATTTGAGGGTATTTACATCCAAATCAGGTGAATGGTGTAGGAATTACAACAGTTTGCATATGTGCCTCCCACTTGTTAAGGGACCAAAAGTAATGGGACAGAATAAAAATCATAAATCAAACTTTCACTTTTTAATACTTGTTGCAAATCCTTTGCAGTCAATTACAGCCTGAAGTCTGGAACGCATAGACATCACCAGACGCTGGGTTTCATACCTGGTGATGCTCTGCCAGGCCTCTACTGCAACTGTCTTCAGTTCCTGCTTGTTCTTGGGGCATTTTTTCTTCAGTTTTGTCTTCAGCAAGTGAAATGCATGCTCAAAGGGATTCAGGTCAGGTGATTGACTTGGCCATTGCATAACATTCCACTTCTTTCCCTTTAGTTGGTTTTGCAGTATGCTTTGGGTCATTGTCCATCTGCACTGTGCAATGAGTTGTGAAGCATTTGGCTGAATATGAGCAGATAATATTGCCCGAAACACTTCAGAATTCATCCTGCTGCTTTTGCCAGCAGTCACATCATCAATAAATACAACAGAAACAGTTCCATTGGCAGCCATACATGCCCACGCCATGACACTACCACCACCATGCTTCACTGATGAGGTGGTATGCTTAGGATCATGAGCAGTTCCTTTCCTTCTCCATACTCTTCTCTTCCCATCACTCTGGTACAAGTTGATCTTGGTCTCATCTGTCCATAGGATGTTGTTCCAGAACTGTGAAGGCTTTTTTAGATGTCGTCTGTCGTCTGGCAAACTCTAATCTGGCCGGCAATGGTTTACATCTTGTGGTGAACCCTCTGTATTGACTCTGGTGAAGTCTTCTCTTGATTGTTGACTTTGACACACATACACCTACCTCCTGGAGAGTGTTCTTGATCTGGCCAACTGTTGTGAAGGGTGTTTTCTTCACCAGGGAAAGAATTCTTCCGTCATCCACCACAGTTGTTTTCCGTGGTCTTCCGGATCTTTTGGTGTTGCTGAGTTCACCGGTCCGTTCCTTCTTTTTAAGAATGTTCCAAACAGTTGTTTTGGCCACGCCTAATGTTTTTGCTATCTCTCTGATGGGTTTATTTTGTTTTTTCAGCCTAATGATGGCTTGCTTCACTGATAGTGACAGCTCTTTGGATCTCATCTTGAGAATTGACAGCAACAGATTCCAAATGCAAATAGCACAATTGAAATGAACTCTGGACCTTTTATCTGCTCATTGTAATTGGGATAATGAGGGAATAACACACACCTGGCCATGGAACAGCTGAGAAGCCAATTGTCCCATTACTTTTGGTCCCTTAATAAGTGGGAGGCACATATGCAAACTGTTGTAATTCCTACACCGTTCACCTGATTTGGATGTAAATACCCTCAAATTAAAGCTGACAGTCTGCAGTTAAAGCACATCTTGTTCGTTTCATTTCAAATCCATTGTGGTGGTGTATAGAGCCAAACATGTTAGAATTGTGTTGATGTCCCAATATTTATGGACCTAACTGTATGTGTACGCACACGCACACGCACACACTTTTTAATCAGAGTATAGCATCAAGTCAGTGAAACTCCTGGGTTATTGATCTGGTCAGTTCAGTAGCAGAGGGGGTTGTTAATCAGTTTCAGCTGCTTTGGTGTTAATGAAATTAACAGGTGCACCAGATGGGCAACAATGAGACAATCCCCAAAACAGGAATGTTTTTACAGGTGGAGGCCACTGAAATTTCCCTGCTCATCTTTTCTGACTGTTTTTCACTAGTTTTTCATTTGGCTAGGGTCAGTGTCACTACTGGTAGCATGAGGCAATACCTGGCCCCTATAGAAGTTGCAAAGGCAGTCCATCTTCTCCAGAATGGCAGATCAATACGTGTCATTGCCAGAAGGTCTCAAGTGCATGGAGGAGATTCCAGAAGAAAGGCAGTTACTCTAGGAGAGCTGGACGGGGCCGTAGAAGGTCCTTAACCCATCAGCAGGACCTGTATCGGCTCCTTTGTGCAAGGAGGAACAGGATGAGCATTGCCAGAGCCCTACAAAATGACCTCCAGCAGGCCACTGGTGTGAATGTTTGGTCAGAGACAATCAGAAACAGACTTCATGAGTGTGGTCTGAAGACCCGACGTCCTTTAGTGGGCCCTGTGCTTACTGTCCGGCACCATAGTGCTCAATTGGCATTTGCCATTGAACACCAGAATTGGCAGGACCACCACTGGTGCCCTGTGTTTTTCGCAGATGAGAGCGGGTTCATCCTGAGCACATTATGCTGCCTGTAACATCGTTCCGCATGAAAGTTTTGGTGGTGGGTCAGTGATGGTTTGGGGAGGGATATTTATGGAGAGACACACAGACCTCTACAGGCTAGACAATGGTACCCTGACTACCATTAGGTATCAGGATGAATTCCTTGGACCCATTGTCAGACACCATGCTGGTGCAGTGGGTCCTGGGTTCCTCCTGGTGCACAACAATGCCTGGCCTCAAAAGGCGAGAGTCTGCAGGCAGTTCCTGGAGGATGACAGAATTGATACTGTAGAATGGCCCCCATGCTCGCCTGACCTAAATCCATAAGAATTCTTCTGGGATATCATGTTTCGGTCCATGTGACGCCGTGAGGTTGCACCTTAGACTGCCCAGGAGCTCAGTGATGCCCTGGTCCAGATCTGGGAGTAAATACCCCAGGACACCATCTGTCATCTCATTAGGAGCATGCCCCGACATTGTCAGGAATGCATACAAGCATGTGGGGGCCATACAAACTACTGAGTACCATTTTGAGTTGCTGCAATGAAATTTCAGCAAAATGGACTAGCCTGCTGCATCATTTTTTCACTTTGATTTTTGGGGTATCCTTGAATTCAGTCCTCTTTAGGTTGATAATTTTCATTTCCATCAAAGGATGAGGTATCCTTATGCTCCTAACACATTACCCAGTCCATATCAGTATAGATATCCAGCATGATATTTTCCTCCATTGAGATCTGATGTGTTTTCAAAGTGTTCCTTTAATTTTTTTGAGCAGTGTATTTGATGGTGAAAATCTTCTCTTGCAGGGCATCTGACCTCCAAAACAGCATAGCCAATCAAGGTGTTCAGCTCCATGGAGGCTGGGGCTACATGTGGGAATACCCCATTGCAAAGTAAGTTTTTTTTTTTTTTTTTCACTGAGCAATAGTTGTAGAATGTTTGAATGAGTGTTTATTTTATTTATAAATTATAAAGTGACCCTGTTGCTTGCTCCTGAACTTGTTTGCTGCAATAACACTAAAGGAAGGGGAAGACTCCTCACTTTTCCCAGCAGGCACTTAATTTTAATAAATATTCACAGTTGTCAATAGCTGCAGCCATTGTTGCTTCCCAGTACTTCCATGTGTGCTGTAATCTTAATACCCTGATGTGTGTTGTGATTCTTCCCATCAGCCCCTATGTTGCAGCTTTGTCCTGCAATTACCGTAGGTAGAGATCAGTGAAAGGAACACACCATAGGGGACACTCAATCCGACACATCAAGAAGTGTCAAATGGCGGAAGTGGCAATAGCTGCTGAAGCGTACAGTTACCACCTGCTAGACTGGCAGGGTTCTTGGATTTGGTGGCGACATTAGTTTTTTCCTATTCAAGTTAACAACTTTTCAGCAGGTACAGAAAATACCTGTTGATCTAGAAATGCTGTAGCCTTGTCCCTTCCTATGATCTCAATTGAAAGCATAAAACTCTGTTACATTATTTGTGTAAACTACCAATCTCGTCATCTCTATGAAATGGAGATTAAGTTCTAATCTTTCCCTGCTCTGAAGTAACAAAACTGGAGTGCCACCTTAATCATTTAATATGAGTAGGCATGTATTTAAATAATTTTGAACAATGTTGAAGCTTCCATACATCTGCTAAATAATGGACAAAAGAAAAGGTGACTTCCCCATTGAGCTAACATTCTGCACTGGAGTATCCTGTATGTTTGCAGCTGTAGAATACATGTAGGACACCGTCTGTGTATATAGAAAAACCTGGGACTACACCTACTGACTCCCAGCCTTTGTAGTTCATTCTGAGATATGAGAATCAGGTTTGTGGTTCTTGGCTTAAATCTACTGCGTGCAAATGTTGCTTACTACACTTTTCTAAGGCTCCTTTCACACAGGTGGACTGATTGGGTTTGATGTTTATTCCCACTTATGCCGGGATAATTTCCACTCCTGCTGGCCAAAGTCCAGCCCCCCTAAAGTCTGAAGGACAAACAAATGACCCTTTTGTTTAAAAAAGTTTGGAGACCCCTGCATTTAGACGAATGGGGATTACATCCAACCTCCCCTTAGAGAACAGCAGGCTGTGTCCATGCCCGCTCTGCACAAGCCGAGCAGCCACGACCTGTCATCCACCTGCTGAGCAGGCAGATCTGCTTGACGAAGTCCTCCCCATGTGAAAGGGGCCTATGAGAGAATCTCTAATTATTTGAAGTTGCTTGGCAATAATAGGATGTTCACTTGCATTCTTTCTTTTGCAGAGCCTATGTGGATTCTCGAGTACAGCCAATCTACGGTGGCACCAATGAGATTATGAAGGAACTTATTGCAAGAGATATTGTAAAGGACAAATGAGCTTCCTTTGTAGACCACACCCAGTGCCTGTAATATGAATGTTTTGTCCAGTTGCTAACTTTTTGATACTGACTGATTTGAGAAATCATTACCTGTGTATAAGGCCTCATTCACAGAGGTGTATTTAGGTGTACATCTGTGTGAGGGCCATTTGTGATTAATGCATGTGGCCTTGGGGACCTGCGAATGCCTCCGTTCAGTCTACTTCATGTTATTTTGATTGTAATATTTGTCCAGTTTGGGACTTTTTGGTTGTTGATTATAAGTGAGAGCGACCTCAGGGACATTATAAGAATAAAGGAAAAACTTTTTTTTTTTTTTTAGCTTTGGATAAAGTGAAGATGAATTAGAATGTCCGTTCTTTTTTGCTGTCTATACATCCGTTAAGGAGATTTCACTTCTCTCTTTGTTCTGTTTACCATTATCGTCAAAAGTGAAATTAAAAGAAAATTTTAGGCTGTCCCAGAACAGTAATAGAGGGGAAATCTTCCAATACCAACTCTAGTTCTGGTGACCTGGGAGTCCCAATGGATTTCCTTCATTTGTAGGGATTCCCTATCACTTCCTGTTTTGGCTATGGGACAGAAACGGAAGGTAAATCTCTCCAATGGGACACAGATGACAAAAAAAAACTGAGGGATTCTATTCCCTTGCTCTGCCCAATATAAAAAAAAAAAAAAAAGTTTTGCCTATAGTTCTCCTTTAAGATTGGCTAACCACAGGCCCATCTTTTGCCATGATCTGTTTATCTTACTACCATTGTTAATCTTGTGGGGCTTTATTGGTTTAAGTGTCTAACTGATGTCCAGACTGTATGTTTTTCGTATTTTAGGACATTTTTATGGCAATGGGTGAAGGTTAATTATTGTTTTGTTGAATTTATATTTTGTCTAAACTAAGTTAATTTTGCCAATAAAGTTAGATCACATGTGCCCTTATTGGTTACCACTTCAGGTAGGTCCTTTAGACCTTTCTGTAGGGTTGATTGTTGGTTACTGGACCATACTCAAAGTGATGAGTTGGTCAACGTTTAATAAATTAAATGTATCATCTATCCCATGTTTTTTTATTTCATTCTTTTGTACTGAGGGGCAAGTTTTGCCTGAACGAGGTGCATAGGCGTTCCATGCATCTGCGTGCAAGCAGTCCAATTCATGTCAATTAGGGTGCAGCGGCCACACGGGTCACAGCCGCTGCTCCCAATTAGACAGCAGTGTGGCTGTGAGTGCATGTTCTTAAATGCAGCCAACGTATGTTCAGGAATATGCACCCACATGGATGTCAGATTGGGAGCAGAGGCTGTGTCCATGTGGCCATTGCATCCCAATGGACATTAATGAAACTGCCTGCACCCGGGTGCACGGGACACCTTTGCATCCCTGCAGACAAAACGTGATTCTCACAAGGGTGTACACTTAAAGTGGAACTATACTCACCTTGACTCCAGCAATGTGGCATCTGTGAGCTTCCTGCCCCGCCGCTGACATCTTCAGGCAGCTGGCTTCCAGGTCTCAAGTGCCGGCCGCTGTTTTTGTCCAGGCAGGGATGACCTTACTCGCGCACATGCGCAGGAGTTCAGTGAGATTCGGCATTGCCGAATTTCTATAGTGAACTGTACCTACAATGCTCAGGCAGGTAAGTAACTTTAATGCAGAAGAGACTCAGCATGTCTCTTCTGCATTAAAAATCCTGCCTGCCCATTTTTAATTTAGGCCTAAAATTCCACTTTAAATGAAGTAATTTTAAATAAAAAGATAAAATGTGTGTGGGGTTTTTTTTTTTGTTTTCTCTTTTTGTTTTGTTTTTTTTTTAAATTGGTACTAGAGCCCTAAAGAAGAATGAAAGGCAAAACATTTTCCCCTTTTGGATACAGTAATTGAGGGTTATAACCCTTCTAATCTTCTTTTGTTGCCATCTGTGGCCCATTGGGAAGATTTTCTTTTCACTTCCTGTGTACTATAGCCAAAACAGGAAGTGAAAGGAAATCCCTCCAAAGTGAAGGAATCCACAGAACTAGTATCCCTATTGGAAGATTTCCCTTCTATTCCTGTTCTAAGGAAAACCCAAAACTTTGCTTTTTTTCTTTTTTCTTTTCAGTACGCAGGACTAATAGAGAGGGCGAATTTCCCTAATGGGGGCACACTGAGCAATAAAAACTAAAAAGGGTTTTAACTGCTCTCCACTCTATCCAAAACTAAAAGAAAATGTTTTGCCTTTAGCCATTCTTTAAAAACATTTAGTGTAAGTATTCATGATCCTTTCCAACCCCCTGGGTGCAGCCTGCCTGGTACTTCACTCTCTGTTCCAGTGTTCTTCACTTTGGGTCCTTGCCTTGTACCACACAGCCTTTGCAACAAAAACATTCTGATTGGGCCCTCTCAGTACCATGCATGCACACCCTGGCCTTTTTCAATCTTACAGTTAAGCCATACTCCGCTGGATTGCTGGAGGCCAAAAAGGGTATAGCTTGTGTTTAGGAATGAACAGGGCCACAATGCACTTTCTATACAATAGGAGAAGAACTCTGTGGGGACAGTTTGGCTGCAAAGGCTGTGCGGCAGCAGGCATTGCCACAGAGTTAATGTTGAACCGGAGGAAAGGTATATATTTAGCAAACAAGATGCACATAGGCATACTTTTTCTGCCCAAAAAAACTTCAACAAAGTGCAATGTACTTCTGGCTAGAAGACACTCCAGTTCACTACACGAGCATCTTCTCGCAGGATTTGGTCTGCTCTGTATCCCCTAGGACAAGGAGCATGTCATCACCTCTGTCTAGGCACAGAAGGCAAAAGACAGGGATAAGGTAATCATAAAATCTAACTTATTTTACTTTTATAGATAAATTAATGCTGAACAGTATGCTGACTAACCTTGCATTGCACGGCAAGGTCCATTTTAAGAAGATCTGATAGTCAGCCTAACAGTTAATTGACACCAATCCTGCTAACTGAAAGATATAATTTAGTGTCTGCCTACAACAGAAAGTGCTGATAATGGCAGGATCTTCAAAAAAAAAAATACTTTGCAACAGATGCACAAAAATGTATACAGTGTGGCGTGGTGTCAAACATATTGAAACTAGGTCTTGGGTTTACATTCACTGTAACCACCTGCTTACCGGGCACTTATACCCCCTTCCTTACCTGGTCAATTTTCAACTTTCAGCGCTGTCGCACTTTGAATGACAATTGCGCGGACATGCAACATTGTACCCATATGAACTTTGTATCATTTTTTTTTTTCATAAATAGAGCTTTCTTTTGGTGGTATTTACTTGCCGCTGGGTGTTTTTACTTTTTGCGCTATAAAAAAAAAAGAGCAAAAATTTTGAAAAAAAAAAAAAAAGTTTCTTTGTTTCTATTATAACATTTTGCAAACAGGTAATTTTTCTCCTTCACTGATGTGCATTGATGAGACTGCACTGATGGGTACTGATAGTCAGTACTGATAGGCGGCACTGACTGGCAGCACTGCTGAACACTGACTGGCACCACTGCTGGGCATTGACTAGTGCAACTGCTGGGCACTGACTGGTGCAACGCACTGGTGGGTGGCACTGCTGGGCACTGGTGGGTGGCACTGCTGGGCACAGGTGGGCAGAACTGGTGGGTGGCACTGCTGGGCACCAATCATCAGGGCACTGATCCCTGATGATTGGTGCCGATCCCTGCTCTGACAACTCCCTGTTCTCGGCAATACTTTCCTCACGCTCTGACAGTGTGAGGAAAGTGCAGCCGAGAACCGACAATTGCATTTCCCTGTGATCAGCGTGTCATTGGACGAGCCTGATCACGTGGTAAAAGACCGCTGTGATTGGCCTTTTACCACATCACATGATCAGCTGTGTCCGTAAGACACAGCGATCACGGAGATTGCCAGGGGAGTGCAGGAGAGCGCGTTCTGGGAAGATGTCATATGACGCCCTCCCAGAACTGGCCGGCCGCAGTGCGGCCATCATTCAGTTATCTGCGGTTGGCAACTGGTTAAAGTATAACGAAATGCAACCATTTTTTTTTTTTTTCTTCATTTAAATTTTGATAGAGTAAGGAGGGATTAGAACTCCCGCTTTTAATACTACCTCTGCCCCCATTAGGGAGATCCGCCCTGTCTATTTGTTCTGTTTAACGTTATTGAAAGTGAAATGAGAAGAAAATCCCATCTTTAGAGTTGCCCCCAGAACAGTAATAAAGGGGAAATCTTCCAATGGGGGGGACATCAGTTTTGATGACCTGGGAGGCCCCAAAGGACTCCCTTTTACATTTGAGAAATTTTCTTTCTTTTCCTGTTCTGACTATGGGACAGGAAGCGTAGGTAAATCTCACCAATGGGCCAACAGATGGCAAAAAAAAAAATGGAACAAAAAAAGTTTTGCCTATAGTTCTACTTTAATTTTTCCAGGGGTGACACCCACAGCTCACATGACAAATAATGAACTAGTTCATTTGTTGGCCATTGCAGAGCTCACAATGGCTTCTACTTTAGGTAGCCTTCATTCTGTTGGAGAACTGGTTTGCTATCCCTCACTGCTGACCTGTCAGTGAGGATCATTTTTTTGATTGTGTGGAGAGAATTGTAGGGTAAAACCCCCTGCCCACAAATTGTATACAAGCCAGTAGGTGGATGAAGCCTGATTTTTTTAGTTACACAAAGCCACAAGTGCACCATTACAACCTTCTATCCGTCAGCCTCCTAACGTATGATAAGGAGGACATTGGGAGCCTGCACAGCATCCTTCCATGTGATTTAGGCATGGTACAAAAAAAAAAGCATTTCTGATGAAAAATGTTTTTAATGAAAGTGAACTTTATATAGAAATTAATGGTAATGCACCTAAAACGTGCTTAAAATGCAACGCACCAAAAACGCAATGCACACATATAAACAGGACAGATCCACTTCTCATGCTTATTATGTTTAATAAAGGGTAATATATGGGTCACATTTTAAAGAGTTTGTTTACATTTGTGGCAGGATGAGGATGGTGGTAAAAATAGGCA